CGCAGTTGGAGACAGACGACCGTACATTTAGAAGTGGGGTGCGAGCGGCTATGCGACGGCGGCCCAGTCCAAGCGAGTGACTGTAGCCATCCTCGATTTGCGGTATCGATCGGTACCCGCTGCTGTCACACGCTTGGATAGGACCGCCGTCGTGCATAGTCGCTCGCACCCCACTTCTAAATGTACGGCCGTCTCCAACTGCGAGCCGGCGCGCAAGTCGAAGTATGAAAGCAGCCTATACGGTTTACAGATTTGCGCGGTGGTGCAACGCGTTGCGCGCAGCTGACTATGAACGTAGTTTGCGCTGGTTGGAGCAGACCTCCATAGTTTTGCATTCTTTCACATGCAAATTGTGTTCCGTGGCAGCGGTTTTGCCAATTTCTGCTTCGTTCGGGACGAGCACGCGCATCTGAGGAGTGGAAATCGAAAATAAGTCCATCAGTTTTAGATACCGTAGCAGGGGCCTTGATGACTGTATAGTTACTATATCAGTCTAGTTTCGATGCAAAAAGTACTGGTATTGCAAGCAATGAAACGAAGTTGAGCGCAATACGGATGAGAATGAGGTCTAAATACGCATTCAAATTCCCGCAATTATCGACTGATTGCGCCTCCCCCTACTTCCGGTCACTACACTTCCGGTCTGCAACAGTCTGTCACTTTCAACCGCCCATTCGTGGTGGTGTTCTGGTAGTATCCCTGAATTGTTTTTTTCAGTCTACTATCACTCCTTATCTGGGATATCTTCTTCCTTTTATTTACTTCAATGAAGTTCATTTCCCCTTATCAAAGTTATTTTCCGTATTGTAGCGAGCTATCCAGTCATATCGACTGGTCACTCTTCTGACTTCGGTTGCTCCTCTTCGCAACATCTTTCACTCAAGGTAAGTCCATTTAGCATTTAGGTGATAGAAACCTCATAATTGAGTGCTATTTGTATTTACCTTCTGGAAAGGCGATATGGATGGTTTCTAGAACTTTCCCTGTGCCTTCTTCCCAAGATCACAAATTTTCCATGTGCAGATTTTACGATTAGGACAATTTACTGTGAAAAAGAATCACTACAAGAAGATCTTGTTGCAGGTCGTTCTGTTAAATAACCTCGATGTTGAGTCTTCCCAGTATATTCGACATCTTGTCGAAAGTCGACAACTATCCAGCTGAGGACTTCATTGATCGGTTAAACTTTGGAGCCTCCGTATATTTACTGGCGTTCTTCGTATTGATAACTGGCTCCAAGCAACATTTTGGTAATCCGATACAATGTATGGCACCTCCTGAGAGTCCAGGTACTTTTCAGTGTGTTCCGCTGAACTCTGTAGAAAGAAAACGTGTACCTCTTTTTGTAGACTCATGGGTACATTACTATCATGACTACTGTTATATCCAAGACAAGTTACGGATATTCAATATGAATGTTGACAAATCACTTGCGTTTGACATTGAAGCCAAACAAAGGTTTGTATAGAATTCAGTATCATTTAGTTTGCCATCAAACTACCTAAGACAAATTGCGATATAATAGACAAATAGGGCGTCGATGCACATTCGAGTTGCTAGCAACAGCAAATTTAATGGAATAAAAGCGCAAATCTACAACTGCCTTATATCTTTTGGAACTAAGTCCCCTGCATTCCATCGAATGGGCTGC